CCTTTAGACAGAATCTAGGAGGTTGGTTGAGGAGGTGGCAGCGCCTGGCTGCTACTTTGGACCTTTTTAACCTCAACTGTTTGGCACTAAATGGCGAACCCAACCAAACAGGTCAGCCTTACCAAGAGAAAGGTTGAAACGGATCACATGCGTTGAATGCCTTTGGAAATTCAATCTAGCCCACCGCTTTTTTTTTTTTTTGGGGGGGGGGGGCTCGGCCACCTTTTTGCCACTTGAATCGTGTGGCTTGGTTGTGAAAACTGTCAGCTGCCTTTTTGACAGTATTTCATATTTTATGTTCCTCTACAAGAACCAGGGCTCCAAATTCTCAAGCAAAAAATCCAAACAATCAATTGAGGGAACCTGCAACCTGGGGACAAGACAACTAGTTGGAGGACACCAGTTCACACCAGGTGCACGTAGTCCCTTTACGACCTTCCGAGGAGTGTAGGAAGTGTGCCATCTACTTTCAACCCTGAACCCAATTACCTCACTGACAAAAGGGAGCCAACGTTTTCGGGGTGTTTTTGAAGCTCAAACAATGGAACCCACCAAAAAAATGGAAAATTGGAAAATCCGGGAGGGGCCAATGACGACTTTTTTTTCCGCACCGCAGTTTGAGGCGCAGTGGGCGCTGCGTGTGGACGTGCCGTGCGCGGACTGCGTGGTCATCGGCTGCAGCGCCCTTCGGGCGTGCCAGGCGCGGCGATGGAACGGAGCCGGGGGCTTTGGACCCAAAAAGGAGAAGACGAGGTGGCTGGGAGCCAGCCATCTGGTTGGGGTTTTTGGCTTGGGGTTTGGTGAGTTGAGTGGTTTGCGGTGGTTCCCAGCCATCCGGTTCCTTAGAAGTTTTGAGGTTTTGCAGAGCTTCGTGGTACCTTCCGCTGAGCGGGATCAGCCCAGGAAAGAAGAGGGGTTCTTGTGCAGTCAGCGGATGACATGGAGGATTTTTTTGGGAGAACTTCTTTGCAGAACATAATTAAAGGGTACACCCACAGCGGAGTTCTTTAGGATGTTTTTGCCATTCTGGCGTTGTTGTCGATCCCAAACACAGCCCGATTCCTTTTTCCGTTTGCTCCATTTGCTTAAGAATGTTGTTTCCCCTGCTTGTTTTAAAGGGAATCTATTACCACAGTATGTTTTTTTCTCCAGGGGACCTACGGCCGTCAAACGGAAGAAAAGCAACTGAGAAAAGCAAAGCTCTTTGGCTCTTTGTTTGGCTTGGTGTCCTCTCTTATATGGAATGTTTCTCTATGGGAGATACTCAAAATCGTAGAGGTGTTTTGTGTATTTATTGTTTCCTTTCATTTGCTGCGGACTTGTTTTCCTTGGAAGGAAGTTGAGTTTGTTTGATATTTGTGGATTTATGTTGGTTAAAGCTCCTTTGGGTTGATTGCTGGGTGTTCTGTTGTTTTGTGGTCCTTTGATCTTAATATAGTTTGCTTGGCTTGGGGTTGGTCTTGGCCTTGTTTTCTTGTGGTGTTTTGAGTCCTTTGGTTTGTTTTGTTAGTTTCTTGTAACGGCCGGTGTCATTTGCAGTTGCTTCCCTTTGGCTCGACTTAGGGACTGAGTGGTTCCCTCCTTTGCCTTTCGTCTGGCTTTTGGGCTTTCTCTTGTCTAACGTTTGCGTGTTGGTCTGAATGATATGAGTCGAGTATAGTCGAGTGTCGTCCTGTTTGTTTTCTGCCGGTGTGATGTAAGATGGTGTCCATGTGTTTGTTTTCCTTTGAAACCTTGGTTCGTGTTCTTTGGGTTTCCTTTGGTTTTGTCTTGCTTGGATTCATGGCGGTTTCATTTTTTGCATTGGCTTGCTTCAATGTATTTTTTTGTCGTTGTTTCGTTTCGCTGCGCTGTTCGTCGGTTTCCATTGGTCTCTTTCTCTTTGAATTTGTTTCTTTAAGTTTCCCCTTGTTCCTATTTGAACTCTTGGGTGATTTAAGCATCCCCGTTTAGGACCACTTTGGCAATTTGACATTGGTTTCCTCAGCGTGATGTTTGAAGGGGACATTTCATGCAGGAGAACTTCCTGGATGACTTGGAAGCACAGCCGCCGGTCTGCAGATCTAATTTTGAAACTGGACAGCGCCGCTTTTGGCAGCAGGAATGTGAAAGGTTTGCCTGGGATCTCTCTTTGGCAGGATTTTACATTTCAAGGTAATACCTTGGTGGCCATCCTAGTCTGTGGGTGTCACGTCTCGCGCACAGGACGCAATGTGGGCCCTTGACATTTGGAAGCAAATGGCTTGTCAATTTCAACCCACCAAAGTTGGGACCCATTGCTCGGGAAGAGCAACCAGAAGAAAGCTGAAGCAGTTGCGCTGCAGGACAAGTCTCACTGGAGTAGAGTTAGGGTACATCGCGCATTGACAGGTAGCTCGAAATGAAACAACTGTACTGTAACCATGATGACACGGAGAGAGCTGCAATCGCTCAGTAAGTTGTAGGCACTTGGCCCTGAATGCCAACTGTCTAACAAAGCGCCTGGGGCAACAATGGGAGATGCGGTTCGCGTGGCTTTCAATACCAACCAGCTGACTTCAAACGTCACAAGAGCCCGTGGGCAATCTAGCGGTACCTGCCCCAGGCCAGAACAGTGCACTTTGCCCTTCTTGAAGAACAAAGACTGCAGCACACGTTGCACATTTACAACAACGCGTTGTGCCTTCTAATGAAGCCACATATATTACATGTTATGCTGTATAGGTGAAATACAGCAATGTGTTCTGCCTTTTGCTGAAGAACAACGCACACCATATATGTCGCACATTGCAAAAGAAAAAGTAAAAAACGGAAAAAGATAAAGAACACAATGCAAGTCGGCCGTTAAAGATTGCAACACACTATAAGCTGTTCAACAGCCATGCATCCTGTCTTTGCACAACAAACAAAGAAGATGTTATATGGCATAAGTATCCAGCACCAATGCAAGTTGCCTACATGTTTCAAAGTCAACCATGCGTTTGGCCTATTGTGAATGCACAACAAAGAAGGCATATGCGTGGTATAGGTTAAGGTTGACCCCCCATATTCATCAACCCCCAGTTTATTCATAGAAATTGTTCCCCTCCAAAAGTGATGATTCCCCACTAAACCCAGGAACACCCCCATATTAATAAGCAGGGGTGTATTAATACTTTGGACGAAATCCCGCACCACCTAAGAAACCCTGGAATGATTCGATTCCCTGTAAGTACCAACGAACAATGCTTTCAACCATAGTTTCTTAGGTGCTGCGAAACGGATTTCGCAACCAATGCCTCTGTATGGGGTCAACAAGGACAAGCCTTCAAGCAAAGCTTCGAGTGGTCTGATTCCAACCACTAAATCCAGGGAAAAGCACTTTTTATGACAATAGGGGTTGCTTCTTCATGGAGGCCCAAAATAAGACCTTATAAAGCCTCTTATTCTGGAGGGGTCCCTCCCCCCAGCCCCCATGACTTCTTGGGTTTTCGCGAGAACCCCCCTTCACACCGCGTGCTTCGAGGCTCGGGAAGCCGGTGGTGACCTCCACCCAGGCGTTTTTGTGGCGCATGGCGCGGCTGGCAGGGGCCACAAATCACATCTCCGGCTACGGCCGGCTGTTGAGCGCCTGCTGAGAAGCAACTTCGCGTGCCAAGGTTTGAAGGAAACCACCAGTTGCAGGGTTTATTTCGGGGTTCTCTGCTGAGCACCAGCAAGTAAGTGATGGGTCAGAATGAAGCCACAGGGTATGGGTCATATATTAGGGTCTTCCATTTATGGGTATGGGCATGGCTTGAAAAATGAGTCACCACCAGAATATGGACCAGGATGAGTCAAAATGAAACCAGGATATGAGCCGTGGGCTTTAGTCCTTTCCATTGTTACCTTTTAACCTTGTGATTGCCCTGATTTGGTCCATTTTGAGTCATGAAGCCAAACAGCACCTGAGTCAAGTGAGGCTGGGGCTGGGGGCCCCTGATGACTTGGGGCCGGGGTTCATAGGGGTAAACAGTATCGCTTGAACTTCAAACACATTGGTCCGGGTTTGCGAGGAGAGAATCTTATGTCGGGCCGCACTATCTTCCTCATGGCTGAGTTGCCGACACTATGTTCAATGGAGGGTTCCCTCATATCGACATTCCTTGGAGTAGGAACGTTTTGTTACCGAGGAAGAGCCAGGGTCGTAGGGGTTGCGTAGCCTGAATTTACAAGTCGGCAACTGCTTCGGCAACTCAGTGAGTGGGTCCTTGATGGACCCTGCATGGCTCGCCACACGTCCGGCCGACGAGCGTCTACGACTATATGCACTGCCTGCAAATTCGCGGCATCATCAATGCGAAGCAAAGTGCCACAAGCCGGCGCTTGTCGGGTGTTTCAGTGACTTCCCAGTGCTTCCACTTACTGCTGCACCCCGGGAAGACAATCATCTGAAACGCCGAGGTAAAGCAAAACTGTGATAGCTGGAAGCACTGGTGACACGAGCTTAACAACATCATGGTGGTTCCTTCCTTCGGGATTCCATAGCTCGTGGTTTAGATCCTGATGAGCCTTGCAAATGAGTTGTTTTGCTCTACCCATAGAAGATACATCCGGGATGGCACGTCCGGTTCCCCAACCCGGCAACAAACAAGGAGACGACAAAAGAAGATATGGTCCTCTCCCCTTGAAGCCAACCGAAAGTTGCCGTAAGCTTCGAAAACGGAATGTCTCTTCAACTCTACTTGGGCGTGCCCATACAAAGATGCCTCGTTTGTTGTCAACACATTTAATTAATTCAAACGGCCTGGGAAGCCCCTGACAATTCCAAAAAGCGCACCTGTGCAGAAGGAACCTTCATGATCTAAGGAACTCCCTCCCAATGAGCCACAACATGAGATGTGTCTCAGGGGCCAGCCAATCAGAAGGGGAGAAAAGAAAAGCCCACCCCAATCGCCAAAGTCCCCCACTTCTATCCACTCCAGTCCACTCCAAGCAGATTTCTCTGGACTCTCTCTTGACTCACCTGATGAGTGGAGTCCGGACTCGGCTTTCTCCCGCAGGAAACCTCAGCGACCAGGAGAAGCAGTTCATCCGCACCGTGGCCTCCTCGACCATGAAGAGCCTCATCGACGCTGGGCTGGCGGAGAAGAGCGGGCTCTCGCTGCTCGGCCTTGCTCGCCAGGGCCGCCAGGGCCGCCAGGGCCGAGCTCGGCTGTTTTTTGGATGGTGCCCTTTCTTCTTCTTTTTTTTGCTGGCTCTTAACGGAAACCGAAGGAAAGCTACTCTTTTTTTTGGTTGGAGGGGTGGATTTTTGAGACCACCATTTTTGGGTGGATGTGCATGGAGGCCACAAGGAAACACCGGCCATATTTTTCGGGGGTGGTTCGCCTTGAATGGGACACCGAAAGGGGCAGCTCAACACCCCATGGACCGGCTCCCCAAGCGACCCGTGAGGTCCAACACAACGCCTTGGGTTTCCCCTGGGGATGTTTAAGTAGCAGTGGCTTGATCATGTTCCAGGAATTGGTTAACCCTGAGGGACCTAAAACCGGGTTGCTACTCTCCCAAAAGCGGTGTGCACTGCCATTATTTCTGGAGGCAGGTACTTCTCAAGTATGCAAATGGGGCAATCCGCACTTGGGGTTGATTGGACCCCCGCTTCCTGCAGTACGGGTTGATTGGGGCATTCCATGCTAAACCTCAGGCAACGCCAGTTTTTACCATCCCTTGTGTGTTTCTGGGTTCTCCAGGGTCAGAAAAGGTGTCAACAGACCTCACCTAGAAAGACTCTCAGTGATATTTGCGCCCATGCATTTCCTGGGTGCTCGGGCATTCTGATGAAAATCCGAGGCATGAGAAGGATCGCAAGAAGAGGCAGCGGGGGCGCAGAGTGGGACCTGCCAAGTAATAATAAGCCTTTTGGATAGTGGCAGATTAAGTTGAAAAGGATGCCGAGAAGAAAGTAGGATCCTGTTCACCTCATATTGCATACGCAACTTCAAAATGAGTCAGGCCACTTGTTTGGGCGTATAGGTCCAAACTTGGATATTTGGACTTTAAGAAGGTTAAAACAAGGACGCTCAAAAACGCATGTGCGTGCAAATGGTATGCTTGCCACTCCATGAGTCGATGTTGTGTGTGTGTGTGTCTTGGCGGTTCTTTTAAACTGCAACAAAGGGTGGAACCACAGTCTTGGAGGCTTGCAGGAATTTCAGCCACACCTATTCTGTTTCTTTTGGTTTAGTTTGAAAAAGCAGCCCCCATGCTCCATGACTTCTGGTCGATCAATTGCTACTGTCCCAAATGGGTATCACTTGCTCAGGCGAACCCTCTATTCCGTCTATTCCTAGGACAGGTTTAGCCATTCGTGGTGATGAGGGTCAGGGGTCCAAGGCTTCCCGTGGTGACTTTGCGCCTGGTTGCACATGTCATTTGCAAGTTCTCTTCAGGTGGGGTCGCGCAAAAGGATATGTAAGAGTTCTTGGCTAGACCGTGGTAGGTTAGTTGTAAGAACCCAGTTAGTTATCCGCGAGGTGTTTGAGAGTCGCCAGGCGCAACCGCTGCCTGAGCTGAACATCAAAGTGCCGTTGGCAATGAGCATGTTTGATTCGTATGTCCGGGCACGTGCAAACCAAGCAAGAGCACGAGTGCTTTCAGATCTGATGCCCTCCTACCGAGTAGCAGCAAGTGGATGGCAATTCGGAGCGCCCGCTCGATATGATGCAGTTGGCCAAGGTTGCGGTCGGGAATTTGCCTTCATGTGGGACCCTTCATGTACGCCCATCACCCACCACCATTTGGTGTTGTTTCCCGTTTTGGGATATATCTTCGTTGTACGGCTTACGTTGGCGAAGCTGAAAACTCACCAGACTCCTCCCCAATGCCCTTCCCCTGGCTGCAAGGGAAACCAACGAGGCCATGTCCAACGACCTTTTGAACGGCTGCTAGCTTTCCCACGGTTGGTGCAATTGTTTAATTCGGGCAAAGGTTCACCAACCGGTATTTCTGGGCCCTTTGGGCGGTTTGGACATGTAGCAGGGGGTTGGCGCTCCGCCGGAGCGCCGGAGTTCGGCCAGGGAAACCAGGAAAGAAGACGCCGGAGGCGCGCGTTGGCGGAGGGGTGGCTGGAGGGCCGGTGTTTGTGTCGCCTTTGTTTACCCGTTGAATCACGCAGAGTTATGCGCAAAAGGCAAGCTGTGCTAGACAGCTGCTGAAAGTCCTGACTCGATCAAACACCCAAGACGTCTTGCCATTTCTTTCTGCATGTTGCATTTTTGTGCTCGGCTTTGTGCCCTTCTCCTTCGCACTCCTTGCTGCTCTTCTTCTTCCGTTTTCCTCCCCTGCTTGCCTTCTGTAGCTCCCTTCCCTCTCCACCTTTCTCGCTTGCCTTTGCTTCGCTGTTCAGCTGCTTTGTCTCCAACTTTTTCTCCATGTATTTCCCCCCCCCCCCGCCGCCCCCCAACACTTGCGCTGGCAAATTAGGCCTAATTCTTCCAATTTAACATTTGCTTAATTAGGCTGAATTGGGCTTATCTAAGCTTTCTTGATCTTGCCCTGGGTGAGGGGTATGAGCCACACCCTTACAGGTGAAGGAGGGGGAATCAAATTCTTTGACCCCAGCGGTGTTTCGGCATTCTGTGTGGGAATCTACAAAGGCAAGAGGAGTTGCTTAGAACACTACCCCCCCCCCCCCCGGAACCCTGCATTTTAAGCTTAACACTAAGCCTAACCAAGCTCAACACGGCCTACTCCAACTTGCCCGCAGCCTTTTTAGCAGCGTTTGTCGCTGCTAAGCCCTGCTTTCGGGTGCAATGCGTCACTGGAGCCCCTACATTGGCCTCGAATATGCTCAGCTGGACAGAGACGGACGTTACGGAGGGTAGCTGGTAGCTTTTTAACAGGGGGGTCTGTCACTCGTTGACGGGGAACCTGAATTTGCAGGTGCCAGGAAACTGCAAGGAAGGGTCGTCCTGGGGTCAGGCTACCTCTTTTTGCCGGCCTGTTACCGCTGGATTGGCGGCGCCTATGGGCACCAAGCCACTCTCGCCTATGGGCAAAAGCTTCTGGGTCACAGGGCTTTTTGGGTGAACCCCTTTTTCCAGGAACGTCTCTCTTTTAGAAAGTGTTGCCCAGGTGGACGCTGTTGGGTCATGCGCCCTTCCTAACTTACACTAGCTTGGGCCCCAAGTGTACTTTTACACTTGTTGGACTTGCTTGCGGGTGCTCAGTAGGGAAGGACCCAGGGTGTTGGCACATGAAGCCTAGGGATTTCCTTAAAAAACACGAGGAATTGTTTTCAGAGGTCATTCCAAGGCATTCTTTACCTATCGCGCCGGCAAGCTTGGCATTCCCAACAAGTGGGCGGTTCCCCCAAGACTTCCGCGGGTGTTTTCGGAGCTCAGGGTTCAGTTGCCTGGCCTTGAAACTCTTCGCGTTCTCTAACGCTTGGGTTTCTCCATGGTCCATTTGGCCGCGTCTTGTTGAGGGAACCCCTCTTACGTTTTTTTTTTTGGAAAGGGGGAACGTCGGGGGTCCCTGAATTTCAGGGCACCCTTCTTTATATTTTCAAAGGGGGAAGCGCAAGAACAACCGTCCATTTTTTGGACTCCCCCGATTTGCGGGAACCCCTTTTTGGGTCAATTACGCACAGAGAGGCCTCAGGGAAACCCCCCCATTTTGGGCTGCCGTCGCTAGGGCGCGGCCGGGAGCCGCCCTGAGCGACGTCTGAGAAACCGCCCGGCTTCGGTGCCCAGAGGTGGCCTCGTTAGGTCAGTTTGAGCTAGAAATGGATGGGTTCCACATTGGGTTGGCACCATTTACCAGAAAATGAAGCGGTGTGTGTCGGCAAAAGGTCGCCTGTGGTGCCCTTTTCCTTTTTCCCGGGTGATTTTTGGCTTTGCAGGGCAACAAGGAAGCAACCAGCAGGTAGAGTAGCGAGATGTCAGATGTCAGAACATTCCACTCGACATATATGAAAGGAATGCCCACTAGTCGTTTGGAGGGTTCCATGTTCGCCAGGTAGACAAACATGGACCCTGCCTGAAGATTTGCCTCATCCCCAAGGGATTTGAAGTTTCACCCCGTGCCGCGTTTGCGAAACTCGCTGCGGCGCTTGGCTGACCAGCGGGGTTTTGTGGATTGGGAGCTTTGGGCAAGTTCTTAATGGGGCACTTGTCCAAAGTCAACCTAAGGCCCTTAGCCGAAGACTGGCGAGCTAGCGCTTGCTGTATTCAAGCAAAGGGAAACAAACATGACATGCTTTTTCAGGCCGTCAACTCAGCAAGGTTACGACCGCTCAGTCGGCCACGCCGATTGCCGGTTTCAGGGCAAATGATGTCGGGGGTCCACCGGGGGTTCCTGTGTCTCACAGCCGCCTTGTGCTCGGCTCCTTTTGGTTGCCCTTCGTGCAGAGATCAGGTTCTACTCTGGCTTTACGGTCAATCTTGAAGGTAATCTGAGGTTCCTTAGCCAACTCAAGTTGCTTCTTCGAAATTGGGTGCCCCAGGTCGTAGGCTTCCTTTGGACCTTCCACACCGAGAAGCTTCGCAATTAGATGGTCTCCGCAGAAAGGCTGCCGTTTTGGACTGCAGGCAGGCGTCTCGAGGTTCTCAACGTGCCTCCCCCGTCCTCTCCAATGTGCAGAAGTTGTGAGCCTCAACATGCGGCAAGGCCATCCCTTCCAGACTGACCGATGGCTCGAGGTTGGAAACTTAGGCTCGGGGTTGGATCCGCTTAAGACATGTTCATCTTTGAGGAGCCAAGGAAGACGGGCTTTACGCTTTCCCGGCGCAAAAGGTAAGCCAGGTAAGCCATGAGAAAGACTCAGCTGTGCCTTCTGAGGATTGTTCTTCTATATATAATAGGTAACCCGGAGACTTTCCCAGTCACTTCTCTTGGTTACCTATCATAGTGAGTTTGGCTAAAAATAGATGGCGCTGGTTTAGATGGGTGCTTATTCTATTTACCAATGCCACCTTTGTTTCCAACGTGTCACATATGTTACCATGGCAACTGGAAGCACTGGGGGCATACCCGCCGGACTCGTTGGCTCAAAGGCCACTGCTGAATCGAAGCAGGGCCTCGTCCGCTCAAGTCGAAGCGGGTTGATTGAAACGATGCATTGCTTCTCGTGCCGCACAAAACAAAACACAGCCCAGAAATTGCAACACCGCGAAAACAACATGCTCAAAAAGGGAAGCAGCTCAAAGACCCTGTGCCCCCGACATTTTTCCGTGGAAGCCTCTCGCAGGGCGATTGCACTGTTGGCTCGCCTCTCGCGCTTGGTTGCAATGCGGTCGAAAGACCAGGCATACTCATACCAGCCGCTGCTGGAAGGCCGAACCCCGGATGAATGACCCGGTGTCTCATTTTCAGAGGAGATCCTTCTCTTTTTTTTACCCGGGGGGGGGACCCGATTGATGTGACGGATTAATGCGGGTCGCAAACATCTGTGGCGCTTTCACTGACACTCGTTCCCACTTGCACCAACTCAACGCTCCAAACAAAAGCGGAGGTTGGCTGAGTTGGCTGTTTGGTTGTTTGGTTGTTGGGCTGTTGGGTTGTTTGACTGTTGGGTTAAGCTGTTGGGCTGATGGGCTGATGGGCTGTTGGGCGTGGGAAGGGGTCGGCTTCTGTGATACTAGGGAAGCCGCCCCTTTCAGATGAATTCTGCCAGCCTCCCATTCCTTCGCCCTGCAGCCTTGAAGGTGTTGTTCGGAGGGCCTGGGGTAGCGATCTTGCGAACAAGGTCGGCTTGCTATCCTACCCCCCCGAAGTAAAATCATAAAACTGCCCTCTTGGAGAATCCCGAGTGAGTTGATTTCCCGTTTGCCAGAATGGAACCCAAATCTGTTGCAAATTGAGAGAGAACGTTCCCAAAGTGCTGAGAAAAGTCCTCCTCATGGGCTCTGTGTTTCTTGGCCAATCATTCGTCATGTCCATGGCTTACGGGAAGCACGGTTGACCTGTCACTGCCACAAGCTCATCAACCTAATGCCACCTTCGATCACGAACCAAGCTTGGTCGACTTGAGCAATAGCTACCACACAGGTAAACCTTCCACTTTCCAGTCCTTGCAAGTGAGCTGAACCAGGTCTTTTATGGAAAGATCGGATTGGGCTGGCCTTTGGGCGTTTCTGCCCTTCTGCCCGCCGGCGAGTTATGAGGTTTTGGTTGGGCAACATGGGGCAACCCTGCAAGCACTCCGGCAGAATCGAGGCTTTGAAATCCGCCACATGCTTCAAGTCAAACTTGTCCAAAAAGGTGTAGGTCAGGCTACAGAGCGGGCCTGTATTCTCAAACCATGCTAAGATGAAGGCCGGCACGCCAGGCCCGAGTTGAACATTTTTCGGCCTGACTAAGAGTCGCAGCAACTTGACCTCGAATAACTCGAGCTTCTCTTGACGGTGAGCAATCCGGTTCAATAGGTTTTGAGGTTTTGAGGTTTTTGAGTTGGTTTGGCAATTTCAATTTAGCCCACAAGTTAGTCACTTTTAGCGGTGGACAGTTTCAGGCTTGTGGGATCCAAGGGTTTATCCCCACTTCTGTGATACAAGGGGTTCTCCCCCTTTATATGGGGGGTCAGTCTTTGGAAAGCCCATTTTGTTGTAACACAGAAGTTGGTTCCATTTCCCACAGCCCTGACCAGTTTAGACCCTTAGACCCGTGCTGCTTCATTGCTTCGGCACATTTGGAACCCTTCGGTTAAACAAATTCTCCCCCTTCTGTCAGAGAACGAAGGTTCCTAGCAGATGTCCTGGGGGGAGTTAGTTGTTTGTTTTTCAGGGCTCCTTAAAAGATACATTTTGCCCATTTGAAGCATGGCTTTTTTTCCACCCAAACAAAGGGACACCGCCATTTGCAAGGCACTGTTCAGGTGTATTTCATGCATCCGGATCCCTGCTTATTTTCCCCCACCCGCCCAAGGAACAAGGACCTCAGGCCCCCTGAAACGGAAGCCTCGTTTACCCCCGGCTTGACCCAAGCAGCCGCTTCAGACCAGTGGGGGACGAATGCTTGATACGTTGAAACCAGGGACTCGCACAGGATGCTGTGGATGGACGAAACCCAATTCGCACCGCTTTGAAACCAATGTGAAACCATTGTTTTGTGGCATTTTCAGGGGAATTGTCGTTCCAGGATTTCTGAACGGCGGTGCGAAATGAGTTTCGCAACCATCCGGTGGTGTTATGCCAAAGGGCTCTGGAGGTTTATCGACCCAACTCGCCCGTTCAGGCAGCGAGATCAGTCAGGAGCAGCGATCGCCTAGGGAGGCCGGGTCCAGTCAGGTGTGGCTGGAAGGCGCTGTTGTGTGCTACAATGGGAGCGGGGCCTCCCCCAAGTGGTTTGCCACTTGAGATTAGGTTCCGTTGCTTGAACCCTCCCAAGGGTACCCTTAGGTTGTTGTGGAAAAGCGGAGGTTCAGACGTTACCTGGCGCTGCGTGGCGGAGAGGGTTCTCTTTAGGAAGGCGCTCCAACCAATTGATTGCATTGCTTTCTGAATGGCCTCGGGCTCCGAGGACTGGGTCTTGGGGAGGCGCTTTGGCGGGTCCTGGTTGTTCTTGAGACATGCTAAGCCAACCAAAGGCAGTAGAGCACGGAAGTCCGCGGCGTTGGCGGGCTCACAGCCCAGATTTTTTGTCATAATGCGGGGGTCGTTTTTCAGGGTGCGCTGGGTGGGGTTGGTCCAAAGGGAAACGAGAAAGGAATCACTCATTGCGGAGGATCCACCATTCTGAGAAAAACCCATGAACAATCACTCCCCTTTTTCTTGATACCATACTTTCGGAAATGATGTCAAAGCCCAACCATGAGCTCTTTTGACTTGTTTTCTTGGCTGTTAGATAGACTGCTTTACGGGGGCTTTGATTGTGACTCCGTCCGCAAACGTTTTGGACTTGATTGGTGGCCAAGGCTAGGGAAGGGCACTCTTGGCCGGGGTGCATCTCCTGGCTGTGAATTGTCGTGGGGGACGCTTTGGTGGGTATCATAGGTGGGCTTCATGTCCATCTCTTTCAGGGAGGTCCCGTTTTAACTCAGCTCCGGAGCATCGGCCGCGTGGGGAAAAAGAAGCGGCTTCTGAACTTCCGGGCGCCCTTCTCCGGTTGCACCCCACAAGGGCCTAGAGCCATGGCGAAACAGAATCTTGAAGTATACTGCTGTGTGTGTACCCGCAGTGCTTGGCTAGGATGAATCAGGATTGCCCCCTCTCCCCGCAAAAACAGGAACAACAAAGAACAGACAAGCAAGCAAGCAAGCAAACAAACAGACAAACAAGCAAGCAAGCAAACAAGCAAACAAGCAAACAAGCAAACAAACACACAACACACACACAAACAAACCTGCAAACCAGCAAACAAGTAAACAAGCAAACAAACAAACAGAGAAACAAGCACAACAATCAAGCAAGCACGAAAGCAAACAATCAAACAACCAAGCAGAACACAATGCAACCAATCAACCTACCAACCAACCAACCAACAAGCAAACAAGCAGCGTGCATACATGCATACATACATACATACCTACTTTCATACATACATACGTACGTACGTACATACGTACACCCAATTACACCCAATTACACCCACCCACACACACACACACACGCGCGCGCACAAATGCAGGCGGAAAGCGCTGCCGCTGAGTTCTTGACATCGGGGGCCAGCGAGCAGCAGGCACCGGGAATTGGACGACGACATTCCGATTTCCTGAAAACAGGCGTGGGTGTTTGTTTGTAGGTGTCTTTTTTGTTATTGTTTGTTTTGTTTGGTCAAAATGAGTAGGTGTCCTGTTTCT